AATAACACAATCATGGGGGCGGGGTGTATTTAGCTAACAGAGTGATTTAGTGTTTTAGCGGATGTGACTATTTACATGGTCAAATTTCATTAACTTTCTTTTTCTATTTCCGTTACTTATTTGATAAAATAATATAGTAATGTCACTTATTGTTTCGTAGAATTTTAATGTAGTTTTTAAGGTGAATTTTTTTGTAGACCTAAGCATGTCTATTCTCCTTATATGGATCTTAGTGCATTTAGAGTATAAAAGAAGTGGGCATTTTCTTCATCCTCCTTTCCGATTTATATTTTCATCTCCTTGACCTGGTGGTACTTTTTTTCTAATGAATTCCTTAAAGTCGAAATATTTTTTATGAATAATTACCTATTTCAATAATTTTTATGTTTATTGAGAGATGCAATTTGAAACTACCATATTGGTGGAGAGATTAAAATGATTTAAAAGTAAAATTTATTTATTTTTAAATTATTTTTTAAGATAAAAAAGAAGAGCATTATAAGTTTATAATAAAGTTAATTGATGATGCTTAAAAACCAATTAGGATTTTTTAAGAAATCCTCATATATATGACAAAACTTCAAGAGCACTTTTTTTGTCCAAACAAATATAGGAAGTAGTCATTTTTGTCCAAAAATAGGCGTAGAGTATTTGCTTGTTTAGTATGCGTATTTTATTAAAATAAAATGTATATATTAATTAAAATCAAATACAAATTAATACAAATGGAGGAATGTCCTTATTTGTAATTTCACTTACAAATAGCTAAATTTGTCAAACAATTTTTTTTATAATAGCTAACACAAACAGCGGGTCAAAGTAACTAACTCAATTAGTCATTAAAACCACCCAACATAAACAACTAACAACCAAGTTCCAAATCAGGTCATTATCCCAAATTGTATTCATAATATTTGTATGGGTCACACTTTTTCTTTATACTTTAAAATCGATATAAATCATACTTGGTCCGTCCCTGAGTGTTTGTCCACTTTTGACTTTTGGAATTGTTCATCTAAGCACTTTGACTCATCAAATTCTCTCAATGTGCAAGCCTAAAAATAGTAATGTGTGATCTTGTTTGATTCGTCTTAACATATAGATTATTAATATATAATTTTTATAATTTTTTAATATACAAATTACAAGATAAAATGGATTAAAGAAGTGCATTGGATGGTGTGCAAAAATGAAAGTGGACAAACCCTCAGGAACGGAGGGAGTATAATTTATCATTTTTCAGTTGTATGTCACTAATTCGTATAACAAAAATAAGGAAACAAATGAAGAAACACAATTTACAGATCTTAGTAGAAAGACAAATGAACCCGTTCATTCTTGTAAAAAAATTCAGTATTTCATTTTTCTTATGTCTCAAGAATATTTAAATAATTTTTTAATTACTATTTTCTTCTTTTTTTATAATAGTCAAATGGGGAAGTTTTATGCAACGAAGATAGTATTTGATATACATCTAACATATACACAATTAAAAATGAAACAATATTAATCTCATACATTTATTTCTTTGCATAGTATATTGATGTATGCACATTTATTTTTTGGGAAAACTTCCTAGATAGGAGTAAAAAACTATGAAAATACCAAAATAAGAATCACAAGTCTTCTAAGACCAAAATAAGAGTTCACACTGTCATTGTTACACTGGCACATTTCACACATTGTAACTGTCACACTATCATCGCCACAGTGCCATCTGTCTCCGCTAGCCACCAGAGTGCCACCGCGGATCTCCGATGATTGATTGATCACAACGATATATTACACGGTCATCATTCTTTCATCACAATGTTAACATGTACTCTTACACCACACTTTCATTATACCTTTAATTTGGTCTTAAAAGACTTATATTCCTATTTTGGTATTTTCATATGGAGTACTTTTTTACTACTATTGTGGGAGAACTCTTTTATTTTTTTTGCATATATGCTTAGCACGTGCACATTATAAAATAACAATGCATCTACATTTAAAAGTTATATACTGTAATGTTTACTGAAATAAAATAGAGTCCACAATTATCTTTGTCAAAATGTTAAAACACGACTAAGGTAGAACTTTTGAAACATTGACTAAAACACAATTTAGAGAAACATAGTTAATGGACATTTTAAAATTACAAAGGGAATTGTAAGTTAATTAATTTATGATAGTCTATGTTCACTCTATAATAATGGTAACTAAAATTTATCTCGAGGACAGTTGTTTTTTTGACAAATTCTCACATTAAATAAATTTTTTATTTTATTGAAATGATGAGTTGGAAAAACTATAAGAAATTGGAAAAATTAAGAATTAGAAAAAACATGGAGAAATTGAAAAAAATGGCAAGAAATTAGAAAAAATAAGTTGGGAGAAATACTCAAATCAAGAGAGCATTAAATTAGACTTTTTATTGGGAAAAGAGGAGGAAGTGTATATACATGAAGTAATACTTTCTAACATGATTAAATATTAGTTCAACATATGTAAGCCCTTCAGCATAAAAATGTAGAGCATTTATATAAGAGTAAGTCTAAAATGACACTAGTGTTACCGATGTTAACAGCTGACATATAAATAACTAGTGCCTTCATTATATAAATAAAAGAAAAAAAGTGAACTTGAACATTGAAAATAATAAAAGCATGGAAAAATTATCTCAAATAATTCCACCTTTTCGTGCTCTTTCAAAAATAATTCTATTTTTCACTGTCACCGGAAACAATCGCACCTTTTTGCATGCGTGCGAGTTTTGGTTCGTCGTTAAAAAACTAACGGCCACTTAATGAAATTTTTGAAAAATGTCTGTTTTTTGCAAATAAATGAAAGGTAGGATTATTTTAAGTAAATTCTCTTTTTTTTCATTATTTATTTCTAACTCTAAATTTAAATGTATTTTTAACTTTTTTTGGAAAAACAATACTAATTTAAGTGTTAGATTGAAACTAATTTTTTTTCAATAATTGATAATCTGGTACTCCCTCCGTCCTAAAATTAACTTCCCATTTGACTTTTCACGGTCTCCAATGCGACACTTTGACCATCAATATCTCAATTTTTATATAAATATATTTTATAAAAATTATATATTTCAAAACTATATTCCAAAATGAATCTAGTGCTAATAAATTTATATGAAAATTCAATGTATTTTTTCCTTAATCTACGGTCAAAGTTTAAAAAGTTTGACTGCAAAAGTCAAATTGGGAAATTAATTTTAGGACAGAAGGAGTAATAATTAAAAGAAAAATTATTCTACACGATAAAGCTAATTTATTTACTTCATCACTAACTACATTTTTTTGTAAGTTGCACTAAAAATTATTCTACATTTTTTTGTAAGTTGAAATTTTGCAATGCAATATTTTTATGGAATAAAAAAAATATACTTCTCACATAATTTTTAATACCATAGATAAAAAACCTAAGTAGAATAAATAATATTTTAAAAAGCATCTTATGTAGCACTATAAGACACCTAATATTACACATATAGCACTCCTAATTGTTTTTCACACATTTAACTATTTATGATGTGGATCTCTTACAATCATACCCTTTTTTGCCAGTGTGGAATGGTCGTGGTATGCATACACTTTCTGGTAGTGTTTTATGCCCATGTTTTGGACAGTGTGTTATGGTTCACAATATTTAACACTTTCTCGCATTGTGTTATGTTCATGTCTGGGAAGTGTATACTAAGTGATGTGTAATAACCCATGGATTCCGCTCGGTTGGTCCGACCGACTGGGAGGTATCGAATATGACGCCATGTGACCGCTTCAACCCGGGCGGTCTGACCGGTCGGGATGAGTAGTTCGGCAAGCCAAGATGTAGCTACCATTCTCAAGGTCTGGCTAAGAGACCGGTCAGTGGACTGTTCGGCTGGATAATCAAAGACGTGCTTAGGATTATTATAAATACTCCTAAAAGCCTCATTTGTGAGGCATGCTTTAATTAACCTACACGGCTTGTACTATTGTAATAGCTCCTATTATCATTAATAACAAACCGGGTTACAGGTGCTTCCACCTACAGCCCTTCCGATCATTTATACTTAGCATTTGCATGGTAATTTACACCAACAAATTGGCGCCATCCGTGGGACCTATTACAAAGAGTCATGGCAAGCAACCAGGAAACCGTCATCTCACAAGTCTCTACTCCCGCTGAGAACGTCACCTCGTTCCCGGGAGGGAGTACCCAACTATCAACCCAGATTCCTACCCCCATCCTCACTATTCCACCATCTACCCTATTCACTTCCCCTACCACCTTTGTCCCCATTTTCCCTCCAAGTTTTCCCGGGCCCATGGACCCGATGTATTCGCAGGCTTTCCAAAATTTTGGGCAGTTCATGTCCATGTTTCAACAATTGGGAGGATTCTCACCTTTCATTCCCGGGTTATACTCTCAGCCTTTGCCCCAAACCAATACCATTCGGTCGGTCGTTCCAACAAATCTGATCAGATAGATGGACAAAGCTGGTCCATCCTGGTCCAGAAGGAGTCGATCCCGGAGGTCACACACTCAGATCACGCCTGATGGCGATGTGCGCTTGGTCCACAGCAAGGATGAGGACTAGAAGGTTCCCCAAGCACTGAAGAAGTTGAAGGGAAAGGCGGTCCAGCGAGAGGGGTCCAGGAGGTCAGTGTTTCAAAGGCTTGGGCACGATGGCCGAAATCAGAACCGGTCGGCAAAAGAGCGATTGGGAGTGGAAACAACCCCAGCAAGCGCCTTTGACCGTCTGTGGAAAGGGGCCGGGCGACCTGGTCGGACCAGGCAGACGGAACCACCCCCACGCGATGAACCCCAGAATAGCCAGACGCCCCATCGAGAAGAAGAAGCGGAAAGCCATCCCAGGCACCCGGTCCGCTCCCATGTTGAACAACCCTGGGACCGTGTAGGCCGGGTTCAAGCACGTCTGGAGAAACTGCAGCACCGGGTAGACCGAGATGAAAAGAATAAAATCTTGCTGAACGAATCTCCGTTCACAGACCAGGTTCACGAGACCCCGTTCCCGAAGAAGGCAAAGCTGGAGGTTCCGAAATTCACCGGGAAGGAGGACCCGTAAATACACGTCAAAACCCTCCATCAAAGTGGGAGAATGATGGGTCTTTCCGGGGATGAAAAATGTATGCTTTTCTTCCAGACCCTCCGCGGCCGGGCCGCTGAGTGGTTTCACAACCTCCCGGCCGGCGAGATCGATTCTTTCGATGAACTGGCCGAGGTGTTCCAGGAAAAGTTTAAGGAGAACTGTACCAAGAGGAAAAAGTTTACTTACTTGAGTACAACCGGGCAGAGGGAGCACGAGGATCTAACCAAGTTCCTCACCCGGTGGAAGGATGAGGTGGATAAAGTGGAAGAAATGGATGACAAAACTGCAATGTCCCTGCTGGTCTCCGGACTTTGTTCTGGAGAATTATATAAAGAATTCTGCCGGAGACCTCCCCAGTCATACCAGGAGGCCTACAACACGGCCTGGGATTATGCTGACGCCGAAGCACAGGTGTCATCGAAGAGGGAGGCCGAGCAGGGCCATTGCAAGGGAAGGATTTCCTTGAAAAAGGAAATCGAACTACCCGGCAGGGTAAAGGCAGAAGTCTTAGAGGTAAAGCCGGCCAAGTTAGAAAAGAAACCTGCTGGGGAGAAGTAGTGGTCAGAGAAGTATTGCTCTTTCCATAAGACTGACTCCCATAACACTGCAGAGTGCAATAGTGTTAAGGGGGTAATAAAGCAGATGATTGAGGCTGGAGAGCTCGATCCAGAGTATTTGGCTCAGGCGAAATCAAAGAAAAACCAATGGGTCAGGCCCGAAGGACAACCGGCCGAGCAGAATAAGAAGAAGAAATCCTCTAGCAAGGAGCACCTGCAGGTCATCTATGGTGGACCGGAAGGTGGAGATTCTGCTTCTCAAAGAAAGAAGTGGGGATGGGAACTTTACGTCGGCACGGTTGCCCTGGATCCCCGAAGGAAACAAACCAGAAGGGAGCCGATCACTTTCACAGACCGAGATCTTCCCGCCACCGGGGAAGACCACAATGATCCTCTGGTTATAACTATGGACATGGGTGGAGTCGATGTTTCCCGGGTACTTGTTGACACGGGCAGTAGTGTCAACGTTTTGTACTTGGAGGCCTTTGAGAAACTCAAGCTGTGTCGAACGCGGCTTGAGCCCTTAAAGACTCCCCTGTCCGGGTTCACCGGTGATTCTGTGGAAGCTGAGGGATCAACCCTTCTAACTTGCGAATTGGGCACGGGGGACAAGGTGATCCAGAAGCAGATGAGATTCGTGGTAGTGAACATCAAATGTGTTCACAACGCCATCCTAGGCCGGCCTTGAATAAATAAAGTCCGTGGAATCATTTCCATGGCCCATCTCTGCATGAAGTTCTATACCCCGGGCGGTATAGGACAAGTCAGAGGAAATCAGAAGAAGGCCTGGTCTTGTTACTTGGAGGCTGTAAAGAAGATGACCAAGGCATTTGAGAGGGTTACCTTGATTTCCCAGGAAGAAGATCGGTCAAAGCTGAAACCGGGTGATGAGACCGAGCAGATTGTTCTCCGGAAAGCTTTCTCGAAAAAGATGGTGAGGATAGGTCGGGATTTGCCCGGAGGACTTCGAGAGGAAATCATCTCAGTCCTTCGGGAGTACGCAGATATATTCGCTTGGAATGTGGCGGATATGCCAGGCATCGACCGTTCGGTCATATGCCACCGGTTGGCTGTGATGGAAGGTAGCCGGCCTGTCAAACAAAAGAAGAGACACTTGGCAAATGTCCGTAGGGACTTTGTCAAGAAAGAAGTAAAGGATTTGTATTCAGTCGGGCATATCAGAGAAGTCCAGTACCCGACATGGCTGGCAAACGTCGTCCTAGCACCAAAGGGCGATACCTGGCGCATGTGCGTAGATTATACAGATCTAAACAAGGCTTGCCCCATGGATTCATACTCGTTGCCCAGTCCCGACCAGATGATTGATGAGACGGCCGGGTGTGAGTTGCTGAGCTTCATGGATGCTTTCAAAGGCTACCATCAGATCTTCATGGCAAAGGAGGATGAGGAGAAAACTTCCTTTCTGACCCCTGAAGGGACGTATTGTTACCGGGTGATGGCTTTCGGACTCAAGAACTCGGGCGCCACTTATCAACGGATGGTGAACCGGCTCTTCAAGCCACTCCTTGGAAAGTTGATGGAAGCTTATGTGGATGATATGCTAATCAAAAGCCCGTGGGCAGCAAACCACCCGGCTGATATGAGGCTTTGTTTCGAGATCATGGCTAAATACAACTTGCGCCTCAACCCCAAGAAATGTGTCTTTGCTGTAAAGACCGGAAAGTTTTTGGGGTTCATGGTGACCAAGCGAGGTATTGAGCCTAATCCCGAAAAGATTAAAGCCATAACCGAGATGAGGTCGCCCTGTTCATTGAAGGACGTGTAGAGACTCACCGGGCGGTTAGCAGCTTTGAGCCGCTTCCTTTCCCGGTCAGCTGAAAGAGCCTTGCCCTTCTTCAAAGTCTTGAAGAAGGCCAACACGTTTGAATGGGACCGGAAGTGTGAAGTAGCTTTCCAGCAGCAGAAGGAGTACTTAGTTTTTGATATAGTTTTTTCTAAGCCCAAACCGGGTGAAATTTTATACTTGTATCTGGGCATATCCCAAAACGCTTTAAGCTCTGTTTTGATAAGAAATGAAGACGGCCAAAGGCCTATTTACTATGTGAGCAAAGCACTTAATGGGGCAGAAAGCCGGTACACTGCCATTGAGAAAACAGCGTATGCACTTTTTATAACAGCCAAAAAACTGGCCGCATACTTCCAAGCCCACGCTGTGGAAGTACTGACCGATCAGCCACTTGGGCTGGTCCTCCGAAATTCAACCTCTTCAGGACGGATGATCAAATGGGCAATGATGCTCACTCAGTTTAAGATTGGGTATAAACCCAGGACCGCAATAAAGGGTCAAGCATTGGCCGAATTCCTTAGTGAACTGACCGGTTTGGAGCCTGAGGCTGGACCTTCCCATACGGTCGAACCGTGGTGGGACATGGCCGTTGATGGGGCCTCTAGACCGAAGGGATGTGGAGCCGGCATAGTCTTTACTACTCCAGAAGGGTTCAAAATCTACCATGCCTTGGTTCTTAACTTCAAGCTTACCAACAATGAGGCGGAGTATGAGGCACTAGCCGGTGGACTCAGATTAGCCCGGGTGCTCGGGATAAAAAGAATGAAGATCCGGTCTGATTCAAGCCTGGTCGTCGGCCAGGTCAACGGCGAGATGGAGGTCAAAGAAGAGCGTCTGGCCCGGTAAAGTGACCTGGTCCGGGCACTTATAAGGGAGTTGGAAGAGTTTTGTCTGACCAAGATACCCCGGTCAGAAAACACTGACGCTGATATGCTTTCAAAGTTGATGCAAGCTTGCCCGGAGCATGTCTCAAAGTTGGCCAAAATTGAGGTATTGGACCAACCCAGTGCTGACCGGTTTGAGGTCGCAGCCATTCAGCAAGGTCAGAGCTCAACTACCGGGGTGATTGGAGCGGATGATGACTGGAGATACGATCTCATGGAGTATTTAATGACCGGTCAAAAACCAGATGACGAAGAACGGGCCAGGAAAGTAGTCCTACAGGCTCCCTGGTTCCAAGTACTGGACGATCACTTATACAAACGAGCCATTGGAGGTCCTCTACTGCGTTGTCTCACCAACCCAGAAGCAGAACGAGCGATAGCTGAGGTACATGAGGGAGTTTGTGCAGCCCATTAAATGTCCCGTACATTGGCTCAAAGGGTAATATTGCTCGGCTACTATTGGCCGACCATCGTTAGATATTGTGAGCGGTATGTGCAAAAATGTAGGACATGTCAACTTTTTTACAAACATCCCGGCAGACCGGCCACATATTACCAACCAACCTCTAATGTCATACCCTTTGCCCGGTTTGGGATTGACATTATTGGGGCTTTCCCGGTCACCCAAGGTGGGAAGAAGTTCGTGATGGTTGCTATTGATTACTTCACCAAATGGATTAAGGCTGAGGCGATGGCTACCATAACCGTACGGCAATGTGAGAAATTCGTTAGGAAGAACATTGTTACCCGGTTCGGAGCCCCAAAAATGATTGTCACCGACAACGGCCCACAGTTTCGCAACCCCGGTTCACTGCGTACTTGGCCAGTTTTGGAATCAAGCACAGCAAGGCGTCGGTAGCGTATCCACAAGGAAACGACCAAGTGGAAAATGCTAACCGCACAATAGTGGACGGGCTAAAGAAGAGATTGGGTGAAGAAGGGCGCAAGTGGTTGGAAGCACTACCTCATACAATCTGGGCACACAGAGTCACTTAAAGAAAGGCGACCGGGGAGACTCCTTTCGTGCTCACTTATGGATGTGAGGCCCGGTTGCCAATTGAGGCAGAATTCCCAAGGTTTAGAGAGACTGTGTATCAGCCCGGTCAGAACGAAGCCGATCACCTAGCTGAGTTAAATCTGGTGGAAGAACGAAGGACCATGGCAGCTGTCAAGATGGCCGGTTACCAGCAGTCAGTAAAGAGATATCACGACAATCGGGTGGGTCCACGGTACTTCTAAGTGCATGATGAGGTCTTACGCAAAAGGGATGCCAGCAAGCCTAATGAAAGGGGTAAGCTAGTGCGTAACTGGGAAGGACCCTATCGCATAAGGGCGATCATCCGACCGGGCACTTACTAGCTGGAAACCATGGAAGGTGGACGAGTTGACCTACATTGGAACTCTCACCACTTACGTAAATTTTTTAGATAAAGTGTAATGAGTTCTTGGTTATGAATAAAACTTTGTTCTTTTCAGAAAGATTGTTTCTAAACACCAACCGGTGATTGGTCGCACACCAATCTGCCCGGCTAGATGTCCAATCGAATTGGACACCTGAAAAAAAAGAAAAAGAAAAGACAGGTCGAACCGATCATACATTTCATCCGTACTAACACGGAGGTCAAATGACGTAACTAAAGGGAGAGCATCCCGGTTAGTTATGTCAGACGATTGAAGAAAAATATAAAGCTTACCTTTCCACAAGGGCAGTACGCCGTTGTGAAAGAAAGGCCGGCTTCACGAGCTCCCGGGCAAAAGACTATCCTTTCAAAAAGGACAAGTCAAATTGCCATCGCGGGTCTATAAACCAACCAGGAGGAGATTAGTCGAATCTATTTTCTCCCCGGCCGCCCAGTCAGTCTTTCGAAAGGACTTGGGTAAAATTATATAGTAGATCGGGTAATTGCAGCCGGGCTGCTACTTGTTAATCTACACAGTTGAAAATTATAAGTTGGAAAGAATTTATGTCAAACGTAAAGTCAAAGTAAAGTGCTGAGGCACCCAACACACAATATGGAAACAAGATTTTCATTAACCCATTAATGTTTTACAAAAGTGCCCGGAGGCCGATCATTACATATGAAAATAAAAAAACAAGAGAAGAAGGCTAGGAAGTCAGATCCCTGGGAAGGGCGGAACCGGCGCCTCGTCATGCAGCCCGGGCAAGGAGGTCTTGGGCTCGAAACCTTCGATCCGCTGCTCAAGGATGCCGTACAACGCTCGGTGTTTGTCATATTGGCTACTTTCAAAGCCAAAGGTCGCGATTTCATCAACGACCTTGGGTGATGGCTCGTGCTTATAGAGCCCTTGGACCAGCCGGATGGCAGCATCCCGGTCAGCAATGGCCCGGCTAGCAAACTGCTCCGGCTCCTGAATCGCCCAAGCTGCTGCGAGAGAAGCCCGTTCAGCCCGCTCTTTCTCTAGTTTGTCCCCAAGCCGGGCAATCTCCTCGGCCGATCGAGAGGCCTCCTTTTGCAGTGCGGCTTTCTCGGCCTCCAGCCTCTGGATCTTTTCTTGAGCCTGCACGTCGACCTCTTTTGCAGCCTTCAGAAGACCTTCATGCTTGGCGTAGAGCTGGAGGTAGACCGCGCAGTGCTCCACCAGCTTCTTCTCCGCCTTCTCATGAGCGGTCTTGGCCTCCTTCCGGCACTCTACCATCATGCCTTCCATCCGAGCCTTCTCCTCGTCCCGGGATTTCACCAGCCGGGTGAACCACTCGTGGCCGATCCGGCCGACCTGCTTTAAATGGATGAAAATATTTCAGAAGTTATGCTGGTAAGATTGGAACTTCATCACAAGAAAGGAGAGGGGAAGATTACCTCAGGGCCAGGGACCGGGGCTGGCTTTGCCCTTTACCAGCGTCGGAGGACTGAACAGACTGATCCGCAGTCTGGGCCCTCCGCCTTTTCCTCTGCAGGCCCTCTTCGATGGCCTCTTCTTCGCCACCTCCAGCCGTTTGTTGGCCACCCAGACCGGCCTCCGACGTGTGGCCAGTCTCCGCCATCATATTGTCGAACTCCAGGGTATCTACATTGATGTAGAGTTCCCCGGAGTGGATTGGCTGGCTGGTCCCCTGGTGAGACGGGGCCGGCTGCTCGTCCAGGGAGAATGGCTGGACGGATGGTTGGCTGAGGGGCTGGGCGGTCGAGGGCTCCTCAATAACGATCTTGGGGGTGGCGAACTTTGAGTTGAACTTCACCACTGAAACAAAGAGGAAGAGACTGGTTAGAAAAACAGAGTTGCAAAAAGTAATAATGCGAAAGAATTGAGAATGGCAGGGGTTGAACCTTTCTCCTTCTTCTTCTTCCCCGGGCGCGAGGGACCGGCGGTGGTGGAGACCAGGGCCTTAGAACCTTTCACCCGGCGGAGGGGGATGGCATGAGGGATCCCTTCGGTCAGAACGATCTCTGGCTCGGGATCAGTCTCCTGACCGGGGTAGACCCCCCACTTCCCAACGTTGTAGGGTCCGCGGGTGGAGGCGTCCCCGGCCCAGAGAGTGGTCTCCCAGGCGGCTAGATCATCGGTCTCCCGGGGTTTGACCTGGCGTTTCATTCTCTTCCCCCAGGCGTTTTGGGCGAATGGGAAAGCCGCCGGGGGGAATTTAATGGAAACATATTTATCTTTCCAACCCCTGTTGGAAGGAGGAAGACCAGAAAGAAATGCCCGGCCTTGATGGGAAGACACAACCACGAATCCAAGGGTTTCCTTAGACCCGAGCCGGACATCAAACACGTGATCGAAAAGACGAAGGGAGAGAGGGATGCGAAGAAAACGATAAACATTGATGAAACTACTCAACATACGATGACCATTTGGGGCCAACTGCCCGGGCATGATCCCGTATGTTTCGAAGAAAAAGGACTTTGAAAGGGTGGATAGAGAATTCACCCAAGTCCCTGATGGAGTGGTAATGAATACCAATCATCGTACCGGCGTGGAGAGAAATAATATTCTTCCACGTAGCCCGGTAGGTCAACTGGTACCCATCCGGCATCAGATTGCGCAGCTCGTGGACTTGAGCCTTCTGCATGTGCGACGGAAGCAACCGGTCATCTAGCAGAATGAAGCCCTCATCCACAGGCTGGGCGACCGAGACCTCTTGTGCCGCAGAAGAAGAAGGGGCATAAGTGGGAGCGTCGACCGGCTTCTTCGGTGGGGAAGTAGCCGGGCGCTCAGAACCATAAGAGTGGATGGAAGGGTTCTGGCTATCTTCGCGGTCAGACATGACTCAAAGAAAAGAGGGAAGAAAGAAACTTACTTGGAACAAGAGGACTCGGAGGACTCGAGAAATAGTAGAAGCAACCGGGCAGATTTTTAGTTGGTGATTTGCAAGTGAGAAAATTCAAGGGGGAACCTCGCTTTATATAGGGGAGATGCCGCCCAGCCGAACGAATGGCAGAGCGACACGTGGCAGCCGAAATGATTCGTCAGCATAACCTCTCGGGGAGACGAAACGGCATAACAAATCGGCGGCCCCGTACCAGATTTCAATAAAGATTCTCCCGCCTTTGATATCCAGTTTTCAAAAATTCAAAATTCAAATATGTTTGGGTTGGCGCTGGTGCACAAAGACCATTTTCCCGCCAAAAATTGCCTGGGCAGTTCAAATTCGAAGAGACGGTCGCATATGCTTCCCGCCCCTGATGGATCCCACAGGACTGGGAATCGGAGGACTCCTTGATGGGTAATAACCCATGGATACCGTCCGGTTGGTCCGACCGACTGGGAGGTACCGAATATGACGCCATGTGACCGCTTCAACCCGGGCGGTCTGACCAGTCGGGATGAGTAGTTCGGCAAGCCAAGATGTAGCTACCATTTTCGAAATCTGGCTAAGAGACCGGTAGTGGACTGACCGGCTGGATAATCAAAGATGTGCTTGACGTGCTTAGGATTATTATAAATACTCCTAAAAGCCTCATTTGTGAGGCATGCTTTAATTAACCTACATGGCTTGTACTATTGTAATAGCTCCTATTATCATTAATAACAAACCGGGTTACAGGTGCTTCCACCTACAGCCCTTCTGATCATTTATACTTAGCATTTGCATGGTAATTTACACCAACACTAAGTTAAACACATTTTTTGGTAGTATGAAATGATCATGCTTTGGCAGTGTGGATACATGTGATATTGGGTATGATGACAGTGTATTATGTCCATATTCTGGAAGCGTATATCAATTTAAACACATTTTTTGGCAGTGTGAAATGCAAGGACAAATTTGGAATTGCATCCACAAGAATTCCAATATCGCATAGCAGTGCTATATTATATATTTTAAACATATATTAGTGCTATAACAGTAGCAGTGTACACAACAAAGTTTATTTTAATACCAAATTTTCTAAAAGACTTCAGGATATACAACATTTTATTCATGTTCTTAACGGAAATGTTAACAAAGGACAATTTATGGAAAATTATATAATAATTGGGGACTAAATTATTGATATTTGATATGTAGGGACTAAATATGTAAAACGACCTATAACTGGGGATCTTTTATGAAATTTACTCTATAAATTACTCGTGTCGATGGTTAATGGTAATATAATTCCGTATTAGGATTGATTATTGATGTTTATATTTATAGGTTTTTTAAAGTTTATAATATGGTTTAGAATATTTAATAGTTATGAAAAATTAATTTAATGGACTAATCAGTTATTTAAATTTATATTTTAATGATTTTTTTCATATTACATATACTCATATAAATAAAGGGATGTACCTAAGAAAGTTTGCTTTATTTGGTTTGGTTCGGTTTCTCGAAGTGAAAACCAAAAACAAAAATGGTTCGGTTCAGCTTTTTTACATTCGGTTTCGATTTTTTCTAGCTCGTTTCCATCGGTTTCCGTTCGGTTTTTGGTTTTCGATTTTCCTAAGATTATGAGAGATAATTTTTCCATACTTTTATTATTTCCAATATTCGAGTTCACATTTTTTTCTTCTATTTATATAATGAAAGCGTCTTAAATTAAATAACACTAGTTATTTATACATCAGATGCTTACATCAGTAACACTAGTGTCATTTTAGACTTACTCTTATATAAACCCTCAACATTTTTATATTGAAGAGTTTATATATGTTGAACTAATATTTAATGATTTTAATCATGTTAGAAAAAATTAATTCATGTATATACACTTCCTCCTATGTTCCAAATAAAAGGTCTAATTTAATGCTCTCTTGATTTGAAAATTTCTCCCAACTTATTCCTATTTTTTTCTAAATTCTTGCAGTATTTTACAATTTCTCCAAGTTTTTTTCTAATTCTTAATTTTTTTAAATTTCTTTTAATTTTTCCAACTCATCATTTCAATAAAATAAAAAATTTATATAGTGTGAGAATTTATCAAAAAAACTGTGTCCTCTAGATAAATTTGTATTACCATTTTAGAGTGAACATAGATTGTCATAAATTAATTAACTTACAATTCCCTTTGTAATTTTAAAATGTTCGTTAACTATGTTTCTCTGAAATGTGTTTTAGTCAATGTTTCAAAATTTTGACTGTAGTCGTGTTAAAATTTTTTGACAAGGATAATTGTGCACTCTTTTTTATTTCACTAAACATTATATAACTTTTAAATAAGGATGAATTGTTTTTATATAATGTGCACGTTCTAAGAATATGCAAAAAAATAAAAGAAATCTCCTGGATAGTAGTAAAAAAGTACGAAAATATCAAAATAGGAGTCATAGGTCTTTTAAGATCAAAATAAGAGTATAATGATAGTGTAGTGTAAGAGTACGTGTTGGCAGTGCGATGAAAAAATGATGCCAGTATAATAAGTAGTATATCGTTGTGATCAGTCAATCATTAGCAATCCACTAGACCTGTGCAAACAAGGGTCGGCCCGTTTGGCCCGCCCAGCCTGCCCTTTAAAAAGGGCGGATATGGACAACCTTTAATACCCACATGGACGGGCCGGCCGAGCCCGAATGTTATTTGGGCGGATCTGGAAGTTACTTTTAGCCCATCCGGGCCTGCAGGCCCGCCCATATTCATCAAAAATATTTACTTTATTATTAATTATATAGCCAATATAATTTAGAAAAATTGTTATAGTTCATGTATAATAGTTCAATTCACTCACCTCTCTTAAACAAAAATCAATATTCTTTTAATGAATTAGTATGATGAGTTTATTAATTATGCAACAATACCTCTGTTATGTTTTCTATGTAAATTTGGCGAGTGGTGATTTTATTTTAAAGATTGAAAAAAGAGTACAATGTTTTTTTGAATATTTTGTACAAAAAAAGTTCTCTTGGTGTTTTATCCGGGCCGGGCGGCCAGGTGGGTAGTTCGGCCCGCTAAGGTGGGCGGGTATGGGTAAAAAGTTTAGCCCATCAAATGCGGGCCGGGCTAGACCCGCCCATGTAAATGGGCTAATAATTTGTATCCAGCTCGGCCCACATCCGGTACGGATCCTTATTTGCACAGGTCTACAATCCACAATGGTACTCTGGTGGCCGGCGGAGACAAATGACCGTGTGGCGGTGATATCGTGGTAGTTACAATGTGGCAAATGTGGTAGTGTAACAATGACACTATGAACTCATATTTTGATCTTAAAAGACATATGACTCCTATTTTGATATTTTCATAATTTTGTACTCCTATCTAAAAAGTTCTCACAAAAAATAAATGTTCATACATGAATATATTATGCGAAGAAATGATTGTATGATATTAATGTTGTTTAATTTTTAATTGAGCATATGTTAGATGTATATTAAGTACTATCTTTGTTGCATAAAAAATCTCCATTTGACTATTATAAAAAAGATGAAAATAGCAATTAAAAATTATTTAAATGCCATATTTTTGTCAACTGAAATCTTTGTCGATTCTGAAATTTTTCAATGCAATATTTTTTCAAAGAAAAATATATAATTCTGACATGATTTTTAATATTATAGACAAAAATGCCAATGTAGAACAAATAATATTTGAAGAATTGAATATGTACTCAACAAATTTTTTTTAAATGCCAAATTTTCTGATAGATTTAGGGTATACAACAACTTTGGTATGGTTGCAATGGTTTCAATTTTCAGTTAGAACCTATATTTTTAATGATGTCTTTGTCTAGACTTTTGAAACAGCAAAATAGAGCTAACCATCAATGAAAAACGAATTGGTTTAAAATAATCTAACAAATGACAATGCTTGACCTTAACTTTTGTTGATAGTCATTGCAAAATATAAAAACCATTAAGAATTATATCTTCTCTAGAACTTCAGGTATAATTAGATCAGATGATACCAAATTCATATGATGCATGTAAACTTTTCCCCCGACTCAATTTTCCAAAACTATAAAAGCATTGATGACGCTCTTTCGCAGCTCTTCAACGATTAATCTTGTACCTTTACAAAATCTAGATGTTTGGTCAATGTTCCCTAATAACATAATTGGTATCCCCTTTTTAAAAATTATTTTTGTGGTTTGGGATCTTCGATTATTTAATTTATTCAAAAACTCAGTTGTTATCTAATCACCATAAACATCTACATCTGAATCTACCTGACATGAAGAATCAGAACTCAAATACACCAATTCATCTTCTAGAATGAGGGATATGACATTCATTTGCCATTTCTATAACCTCAAACATGAGTGTCAGTAGTGCCCTATCCTCGAAAAAAGAATACCTTTTCATAGTACCCTATAGGTTCAGATAAGTGAAATCCATTATACTCTTGAAGGGTTAACTTGTGTCTAGAATCAATAATTTGGATGAAGTTTCAATGTTAGTTGTTCCATCAATCACTTGTTCAAGCTTTCTATCTCCAACTTTGATTATCCAATTAGAAAAGGCTTGTGTGTCCCTATCTGTGCAAGAGGACATCGATGAATACAATCTCATATTCTTCGTCAACGTATAAAGTTTACAATACGACTATAATTTTGAAGAATTGATGGTAATACCTACAATTTCCTCTCTTGAAACTTTGAGTAAAACAGGAAGAGTTTTCCGAAAATCACCTCTCAATACAACTATTCATTTTAGGAGTTCTTATTTGAGAAACTCATTACATCCCTCATTGTGCAATCCAATGCTTCAAAAACAAATCTATTCATTATACATACTTCATCCCATATGATTAGACTTGTTTGTTTCATTAATTCTGCTTTTAGGCTTCCTTGTTTGATGGCACACGTTGAGCACTTGGTTAATGCTAGAAAGATTGAGAATATTGAGTGTGTTGTCCTTCCCTTAGGAAAAAGCAATGTTGCAATGCCACTAGATCGACATTAATGACAACCTTCCCAGTTAACCTCAAAGAAGCAGACAATGGTTTTCATAGAAATATTTTTTGAGTTCCACCGTAACTATATACAAAAGAGAAACCTCCTCTTTCAGTGGTCAAAATTCACATTTTTTATTATTTCATTGTATATCTTCCGCTGATCTTCATTCATCGTAGAGAAGTATTCCATAAGATCATATTACTTTCTTTATCATAGTTCAACTTTTATACTAAGAAATTATATTGAAATCTATTAAGTTGACTGTCATCTGAAAATGACATCCCATTAATTTCCCTTAAAGACTATCCAGTTGAATTAGGAAACTTTTCAATCTCAATCAGACATAAATTCATTAGATCTTTTCGGGAAATTATATGCTCTGAAAAAAATTAGAAAAAACGCGACTTAATTAGTTCTACATAGTACTCAATTAAAGAGTTTGATTTCAACAAAATTTATTACATATGAATTAATATGTTAAAAAAACTATTTTTCTATTAAAATACCTTGATTACGCATTATTCTTCATCGACCAAATAAAATTCCATCCATTAGGAGTTCTCATGGTTTACTCCAAACAATTTGCGGGTGACTCATGATATTTGTCACAAATGATGTGACGAAAACTTTATTAGGTCATCTCCAATGGGATGCCCAAAGGAGATGCTCAAAGGAGAGAGAAGAGGGTGTTTATAGATGCTACTATTGAAGATAGATGCTTAGAGTAGATGTTCAAAGAAAAAAAAGTGAAAGATGCTCAAGAGAGCACCGGGTGCTAGCATTCAAAATTATGTGTGCATTCTTTCTTTTTCTTTTTCTTTTTTTGTAAAATAAGTCTTTTTTAATAATACATTCTCTTTTCAAGATTTTTTCTTTTTATTTCTTTAACATGTAGTGATGCTACAATTCTATACCATTATTGTGTCTCTTTTTTTTTTGGAATAGAATCTTTACAATTTTTTTTTAAACAAACCATTTTCGCAAGTTTTTTTTCTTTTCATTTTTTTTAACTTGTAGTGATACCATGAAAAATCTGTTTGAAGTTGTGTTTCATTTGATTGAGTTTGATCTGCACAAAAAATTGAATAAATAAATAAATACTCTATAAAAATATGACACCCTATTTTGTTTTTAGTAATACCAACATGTCTTTAATTTTTTTAATCAAAATATTTAGCAAAAAAAGTCATTAATAATATTTTTAATTATTTATATTATTTTTTCCAAAAAAATCAGTTTAATTAATAATTTATTACTCCATATTTAACACTCCTATATATAATATAAAAATTTAAAATTAAAAAAATAATAAAAATTATTTCTGTATGTGAGTAGGATTCGCCTAAGGCATCTCAACGAGGTGTCACCATTAAAACATTTAAATGTTCAAAGAGATGCCGCAATAAATAAATTATTAATTAAACTGATTTTAAATTATATATAACACTCCTATATAACACTCCAAATTCTATATACTTTTTCATAAATAAACCATGTACCATCTAAGAATATAACAATCACTCCCTCCGTCCTAAAACTTACTTCCCGGGTTGACTTTTCTTCATTTTTAAGGGGTTGTATAATTAGGTCTTGACTTCCCATTTTACCCCTCTAACAAAAAAAGTTGGAAATTGAAAAAAAAAAAAAAAGATACGCCATTAGGGAGAAAAGCACACAAAACATTTCATTAATTATTAAACACAAAACATTAAATTTAACATAAACAATTTAACATAAACAAGGACAGCCCCTTGTAAAGCAAAAATCTGAAACCCACTAGCATTACAGTCAGGAGGGAGCAAAATACAGTCAATCCCTCCAAAATTTCAGTTTGGAGGGAAACTTCCCTCCAACACAAAAACAAAAACTGCCTTTTAACCTGCAACTACTACACTATAAAAAGCAAACCTTTCTACTTTTAGTAACCCCAATACTCTTCCTTCCTTCTCCTCTCTTCCCATCAGTTATGCCCCCTCCTGTGGCAGATTCTCCTGCTTCTCTCTCTCACCCTTATGCTTTCATTGTTTCCCCTGTTCCCTCTTTCAACCCAAGCTGTCATGAGAATCTGCAAAGTGAACATCAAGAAATTACCAAAAGACTATCCAACGCACAAAGACAAAGAATTGTTGAACTCATCCTACTATATTCAAGAAAGAACATCTCAGGTCAACACACAGCTCAGAAAGGGATTATCAGCAAAGTTGCTGCAGATTTTAATGTTTCAAGAAGGACAGTAGGTGCCATATGGAGCAGAGCTAGAAAACAACTACTAGAGGGTGTTGCCATTGATGTGAAGAGCAGACTTCCAGTGAATTCAGGCAGAAAAAGAGTTTCTATAGACATTGAGACCATTGGAAACACTCCTCTTGCCCAAAGGACAACCATTAAAAGAGGTTTGCTAAGAAGTCATTCAAATGCAATCAAACCCTTTTTAACAGATGAAAACATGTTGAATAGATTGCAGTTCTGTTTCAATCAATTGGAACCCACTAGCATCCCATGTAATCCCAGATTTAAAACATTTCACAATGTTCTGCACATGGATGAGAAGTGGTTTTTCATGTCTAAAACATCACAGAAGTATTATCTTACCAATGATGAAATGGATCCATACAGAACATGTAAGTCTAAACGCTTCATAACTAAGGTCATGTTCTTATGTGTTGTTGGTAGACCATTCATATCAGAGAATGGAGAGATTTTATGGGATGGAAAAATTGGAATATTTCCTTTTGTTGAAACTGTGGCTGCTAAAAGAAAGAGTAAAAACAGGGAGGCAGGTGTATTAGAAGTGAAACAACTTCTGAGTGTCACCAAAGAAGTGACTAAAGATATGCTGGTGAACCAGGTTATCCCTGCAATTAGGGAGAAGTGGCCCTCTTTCTTGGATAGGAACATAATTCTCCAGCAAGACAATGCAAAGCCACACATTTCTGCCACAGATCCAGAGTTTATGGCAGCAGCAAGTGGGAATGGCTTCAACATCATCCTAACTAACCAACCCCCCAACTCCCCAGACCTCAACATTCTAGACTTGGGTTTTTTTAGAGCCATCCAATCACTGAAAGAGAAAACTGCTCCTAAAAATGTGGCAGAGCTAGTTGAGGCAGTTAAGGGTGCATATGCAACACTTACTCCACAAACATTGAACAAAGTATGGTTGAGCTACCAACATGTGATGCAGGAAGTAATGAATAATGATGGAGGAAACAAGTACAAGCTACCACATATGGCAAAAGACAGGTTAGCTAGAGAAGGAACACTTCCAGTGACTCTAAATGTACCCCACACACTATTGGAGAAGACAGTAAGGGTGCTGAGCAATAGGTCTGTGCAAAATGAAGAGCAAGTATTGCATTAGTTCATGAATGAAGATGGAGAAGAGTTCTCATCTTCAGAAATGAACTGAGTGTGTTTCATAACATCAAGGAGTTTTTTTTGTGAATGACTGGGTACATGTTTTTGGCTTTTGAATTTTGTATATGTAAGTAATGAAGAGTAGGCTAGTAAGACCTTGAATTTTTTGTTTCACCATCAAGGCAACCACTCGAAATGTACTCCAGTAGGTTTTCTTTTACTACCACTCACATTATGTACCTTAATGAACTACTTGAACTAGACAACTTAATCACATGTTCATCATCGCTGTGTATGTATTATAATGTGTGCAACTACCCATGAAAATGCAAAGAATAAAGAAAGAGTAACTTCACTTTCCACTCCCGATGAGAAAGCAAGCCTGGAATTGGTTGAGCCGCGCCAACCCCTTCTTCCGGTAGACTGGAGTGGCTGCCCATCTCAAGACCTGGCTGCTCTTCATCCAATTCGCTCCCAAAGCTTCGCATCTGCTCATCCTCCATCTCACTTTCCTCGTATTCGCTGTCAGCAATGACTATGCCAACTTCAGAGCTGGTCTCAGTGGACTCACTCTCTCTGTCCTCACTGTGTAATGAATCGATAGTCTCTCTCTCTCCGTTCTCAAACCTCTCATCTTCGGGCTTCATCCCTTGATAGTATTCAGCGATTTGAGATTCAACAAGTAACTGCATCTCAGAAATCTGAGAATCCATATCAATGTTGGGGATGAAGATTAGATCTAGGGTTTTGTGGGAGAAGGAATTTACAGACACGAATAGAGGGTGAGACGGAGAGGAGAACACAGAGATGGCGAGGACGAGAGATGGTGAGGACGAGAGATGGCGAGGATGAGAGATGCAGAAACGACGAGATGGAGAGATCTAGATCTAGGTTTAGAGAGAGGAGGCGAAGAGTACAAGAGTAGAAGAGATAAGGATTCGTAAATGTGGAGGTGTGGTGGTTGTGGCGTAAATGTGAAGGTGGGGGTATTTTAGACATTACACACCCTTTTTAAGGGTGTGGGAAGAAAGTTTTAGGACGGGAAAAAATGGGAAATGGGAAGAAAGTTTTAGGACGGAGGGAGTAATTTTTAACCAAGAATATCACAATTATATTTAAAATCAGTTTAATTTATAATGAGAGGTGTTATTACTGTAGAGCCCACAATTGAGCATCTAATGAGAGGTGTTATCACTGTGGATGCTCTTAATTGATTCTCATATTATAACTCAACAGCCTCTTTTATTACCTTCAATAAATTTTTTATCATCGGTTAATAACCCTCATGCATCACATGCTTCCTCGAATGAATTATAAAGAACATTGTTTACTGTCTTCAAGCTCTCATAACTCTCTGGTTCCTGTTGTCACATACTATAGTCGGCCTATTGATGGTCTTTCATACTTCCTTTTGGCATGTGTTATAAATATATTTTTTATTTTTTACACATGATAGTTTTTCAAATAAAAAATTTAGAGTTAGTACCTTTTTTTGCCTTTAAAGACATTACAGACCATGTATAACTTTTTTTGCTTTTAAAATATGTATGTATGAAAATTTTATACCCTTTATCCAGTAATAGCTTTATTTATTTTCCAAATTCTATATACTTTTTCATAAATAAACCATGTACCATCTAAGAATATAACAATTAATTTTTAACCAAGAATATCACAATTAGTATTTAAAATATTAATTCATCATAATTGCATTTATAACAATTAATATTATACCATAAATTATTCGATTGTAAAAAGAAATTAATAATTAAATTATTACACATAATACAAATGCATTATTTATCCATATATAAATCTTTTGCCTTTTAATATACATAGCATACATTTTTAATTTTTTAAAAAATATTCAAATATCAACTTCTATTATTTATTTTGATTTTTTTTAGACAAAGAGAGGTGTTTAAGTTACTCTTTTGTTTATTCTTGCTATGCATGGCATGAGGTTGTTGAAATGTTTGTGATGTTGAGGCTTTAAATGTACAGTATATATGCATTGGAAAGAAATGCTTTAAATATTGTTTTGAATTAACTGCTTTAAATTATTTTAAAATATTATTGTGTTTGGATGTCAATTCAATTATAACCCGATCCGATGGTCCATGTATTCGGCTTTCGGGGGTCGGGTATTACAAGGCAACCTTGTTGGGTCAAATGAAATAAAGGAGTTCAAGAATTGCATTTATAACTGTGGCCTAGAGGAGATGCCTAGTATACCTCCAATAGGCAAGGCCAAGGATATAGCATCTACTCATAGGTTGACAGAGTTTTATGCAAACTCAGACTGGATGGCAAACTACAATACAAAGGTGATTATTGAAGAGAAGGGATTATCAGATCATACACCCCCTAAAATTCAACAAGTTGATTAGGTGAATTACAAAAGTTTCAGATCTTCTGAAATGTAGTCATTAGACCCTGATTTCAATAAGATTGTGAAAGCTGTTTTGCACCAGGAAATAGTTGGGAGGCCTATGTTCCAATTGTGTAAGAAGTTAAAAGAGTTCAAAAAACCCCCAATGAAATTAAACACAAGCAAATTTGGTTATGGTAGAGAAGTATAGCTGTAAATGAATAATCGAAAATTCGATTACCGTCCGCATCTGTATCCGTTTATATGAAAAATATTCTCATCTGTTAAAAGCGGTTATTATCCGTATTTGATTAAGGATATTTGATTGCTAAACGGATACGAATTTGGTAATCACACATCCGATCAGTTTATAATCTGCTCTGCATTGACATCTGTTTAAATAACTGTTTATCAGTGTATCTGATCCGTTATATATAATTTTTCTTAGTTTTTTATTTTTATATTTTGTTTCTCTATTGATATTTCAAAGTATAAGACATTTTTAATGCAAAATATATGTGTAGACACATAAAAATATGTATAGACATATAAAAATATGTGTATATATGTATTGTGCATATCTTTTTATGATATGAAATTATCGTAGAATATCATAAATTATAAAAAAAATAAGAAAATAATTATCCCATAAAAAATTAAAGTTGATTTAATAATATTTTGATTTAGTTTAATTGAAAATTAAAGTATTGTTTAATTTGGTTTACTAAATTGGAAACGGATACAGATATATCCAATATCCGACCGATATCCGACAAATGCGGATACGGTTTTAATTTTCAGTATTCGTCAAGATCCGTATCCTAATTCGATATCCGACAAAAATAAATGGATACAGATTTGGTAATAACATATCCGATCCGATTACTATCCATTTACACCTGATAGAAGGTAACAAAAAGGTAGCAGATAGAGGCTATGGTAGACTATTTCTTGAAGGCTTTGAGGATGAACTCCCTAACCGTGGACGTGAATATAGAGGCCATGAACAGAGGTAATGAATTCAAAATTGAGCAACAATTTGAACTAATACTGATGTTGATGGAGGACAAGTGAAAGAAGTTTTGGTTAGTATACCAAACAATAAGAGCCCGGGCTCGGATGGAATCAACGGTGATTTCAAGAGCCAATGGGCTGTTGTAGGGGACTTGGTTACTTGATGGAGAGAATTATGGCTTTTTTTGAGATGGGAAGGGACTGAGAGAAGGAGATCCCATGTCACATTTACTATTTGTTTTAGTAATGGAATACCTGAGTAGACTTCTTCAGCAAATGGCACAAGATAAAGACTTTAATTTCCGTCCAATGGGCAAAACCATAAAGATTGTTAACCTTTGCTTTGTGGATAATCTCATAATTATTTGTAGAGCAGATGAGAGTACCATTAGCATGGTAATGGATGTCCTGAAAACCTTCCAAAACTCAACTGGACTTGGTATTAACTATGCTAAATCTCAAATTATATTTGGGGGGTTAAGGAAAAGGATCAATAAAGTTTTCTACAAATGACTCAGATTTCACTAGGGGTTTTACCTCTAAGATACTTGGTGAGTCCTATCACTACTGCTAGGATTGGAACTAAGAAGTGTGATAAGATTGGAGCAGGTTATTTACTATCCCAACTAAAGTCATGATGAAGGTCCAAAGCTTATGCAGAAATTTCTGGTGGAGAGCTACTGCAAATTACATGAAGTGCCCTAAGGTCCAATGGGATGATGTATGTCTACCTAAAGGACTAGAGAGCTGGGTTTAAGGAATATGGTGTTATGGAATAGGGCTGTTATTATGAACTATTGGTGAGATGTTGCTAATGAAAAGAACAACATATGCATCATATGGATTCATGAAAAAATATAAGTTTGAATTCCATAGTTTGAATTCCATGTACCAAACGAAGCCTATATGTACCACAATAAACGTTACAGTACTCCATTTTTTTCCTACTAAAGTACAATGAATCATAAATACTTGGTCAACCATGGTAGCTCCTCGCTGTCTTTAAGTGCAAAAGTCACATCATCGCTGCATTGCAAATGAAAAATAATTACCCTATATTTCGATACTATTTCCTTCAAAAAAAATTAATTGCTAAGCATTCATTTAATTCCAAAAAAAATTATTTCATTTAAAGTTGCTTTTTAATGTAACCAAACCAAGCATTCTGTAGAAAGTTACCTGGGAAAGTTAAGTTGTAATTTTTGCAGCTTGTGTTTTGCTCCTGGTTCACACAATAATATTCTGCACTCTCCAAGCTTGCATCTTTCACCATCAGAGAGACCAATGGAGATTTTAGAGCAAAATATAAATAGACAAAAATATGTCCTAAAGCAGAAATTGAAATAAATAACATGTTTAAGTAGATACCCATCCATCATTTTTAAGACCAATGAAGATTCCTAATATGCAACAGTTTTTTAAAGGTTTGTTGTGACTTACCCAATTTTTAGGAGTGAATCCCAACCTGGAAATTTTTCTTTGTTGCTTGTGCAAAGAACTGCAACCGTCGCTCCCAGCTGTAATGAAGAAAGGAAACAAAAGCCCAAGAAAATTCACATCTAGAAATTAGAAATTTGATAAATCGATTTTCATGCTTCAAACAAGGAAAACAAGCAATTAAGCACCAAGGCCATTGATGATGAAATGATAGGCCAAATACTTGCCACTGAACACATTACAAATCAAAAAATCAAACCATATCAAAGGGTTTGATTTAAATTAAAGGTGTAATTGGTTTTATCATCACTTACAACTTTCCTTGGGTATCTAATTGTGTTAGTAACTAAAATGGATGTCTATATGGCTTGTCGAAAGTCAATCAAGAGGTTTTTAAGGGTTTGGGACTTTGGGGGGGCATTGTTTAGTTAATTAACTTAGTTTAGGGATTAACTAAACACTTGATGTCATTTTTTTTCTTTTGGAAATTTGACCGAAATAATTCCATAATGGATTCATAAGTCCAACATGAGAAACGGGTTTCCCCTCGAGGGATTTGGAGATTAGGATACAATTTAGACAGTCGAGGCTTTGATTATGGGTCTAAGTTCTAATTAATCAATGAATGCATTGATTACGGACAACTGATCACGGCTCCAGATCCTGCCATGATTTGATCAGACCATGAGATAACCAAGATCCTTCAGTACGTAAACCATGCACATCAACAGCAGATTTTGCTGATGCCATGTATGAAAATGGGGAATAAAAGTGCTTACCTCATCAAAGGTGGTTTCGCTCATTCCGGTTTTGTGAAGCTCATAAACCATAGCAGCCAAGAAGATCTTACTGAATCTTGAGCAGCTTCTCATCACCTGGAAAACATTAAAGACATTCAGTATTCAAAAAGTAAATCCAGCTTCTGAGTTTCTCAAGCTTGGCTTAGCAAGGCTGGGCCATGGATTTGCTTTCCTCATGAGCTGAGTTCTTAGTTTATGTGCAATCTTCATTTTCTACCTTGAAATCCAGTATCTTGACATTAATAAAAAAATCTTTTCAGAAAATTTATTTTCTTTAATGAAAATCTTACCATGAAAATTGTTAATATAACTCACTTGAATATGAGGGGCCTGAAACATTTCATGAATAGCGGATTCAACTTCAGCCATGCCAACTAGTGTTTTTCCTGAAAATTTCCAAAACTTCCAACTGTTAGAATTGTTTCCTTGATATAGTGGTTTTTCTTAACTTCCAGAAAGAAATTACTTGCCATCTAATAACTTCTACATCATTCTGAGGGCACTCCGCAAATACAAATTTCAAAGAACAACCTATTGATAGCGTTCGATGCAGGAGGATACTCAAGAATGGAGAGGGAGATCCTTGAGGATGAAGCTATGGTGATGAATCAACTCAGTTGATTCATAGATGTAACGGAATTGAGATGAAGGAAGGAGAGAGACGAACCGAGAGAGATAGAGAGGAAGATAGAAACTGGGAATTGGATTATTCTTTCATTGGTTGTGAAGAAGAGCAAGTACAAAGGGTATTTAAAGGCTAAAATGTCTTACTAAATCTATAACAAACTGCCAGCTAAGCTTGGAGTTAGTTGCACTGCAACACCTATTTGATCATTAAATAGATCAAATCAAATTTTCAGTGATGGTATAACTCAATATCAAGCAGCATGCCTTTCAATTCTCTACTTAGAGAAAAGGCAGTTAGTTTATTATGAAAGAAATAATGTATACTCCATCCCAAAAATGGAGTATTGCTTCAAGAGCTACTCCCCCCCCCCCCCAAAAAAAGTCATGTTTTAAAAGTCAACTTTAATTTCCGAAAAAAAAACTGTAAAGCCAGAAGCATGTGGTTGCCAATTACTCCAACCAACTTTGCAAATAAGCTCTAGGGAGTATAAATGCCCATCCATGAACCATGATTTGCAAAAATTTGTACCTTAAATCCTTAATTGTGACTAAAAATAAAATGTTATATTACTTGTATCTTACTCAAGCACAACTTTTATGGGTGGAAAGAGTATAATATAAAGAGAACCAGTTAGATCAATATCTCTTTTACACCCACTGAACAAAAGGACCACGGAAACAGAAAGGAAGCTTGTAAGAAATTTTATAGTTATTGTAAGCTTGTGACACTGGGAGTAGAAAGAACCATGTTAACAGATGCAAGACAGACTTCACAAAATTCCTATTATTAAGTAAAAAGTGTCCTAATCTCCAAACACCTATCTGTGACTGTGACTGACAGAATACTTACCTGCTGCAGAAGGACAGACTTTCTTAAAACGGTAATCCGCAAGTTCTGCAGCACGTCTGCATATTTCCAATGCACGGCGGGCATCCCCTGAAACAGCAGCCACCTGAATTTGTGCACAAACCACGATGAGAAACCTCTAGGCCCTCTAAAATTATTAACTGAAGATTTTTACAGTTAGAGAATATGCTTTAAAAATCCAAACTTATCAAATGATATTACCTTTCTTGAAGCGAATTCAATTGCAGGCTTTTCAAAGACATCTAATCCATTTAGACGAGTTAAAATTATTTCTTGAAGTTGCTGGTAATGGTATGGACCAAAGCATAATCTTTGAATGCCCATACGACTTGAAATGCGAGGCAGCAACTTCTCCGGAAGATCCATAGTGTTAGCTATCCCTGAATCAGCAGAGAAAGTAAGTTACAAATGCTCTCGGATAGAAGCTTTTTCCATGTACATAGATACATTGGAAGAAATATCTATACTCCCACCTATAATAATTAGTCTTGAATGTGGCTTGGTAGGCCAATCGAGAATGTTGTATAGGACCTGCCGTTTGAGGAGAAAGATCGATGGATAGAACTCTGAACCTTATAGAAACTTAGGCAACATTTGTTTACAGGAGAATAATTTCTTGGTAAATGTTTCTTTTTTGGGACAAGAATTTTTTTCATGAT